GGAGTGCCAAAAGCCTGGTACCCCAACAGGAGCAAGGGCCAGGGGTTAGCCCAGGGCAAGGGAGGAGCAAGAAGCACTCGAGTCCTCTCTCTGCCTCAGACCCTACCTGGGGAGGGGGAGAGGAAGCCAGGCTGGCAAGGATGGTGCTGCCTCTTTAAATCCACCGAAATCCTGAGCTAGGCCCAACCCAGCTCTGGTTTCACAGGAAGGAAAGGAGCTCAGGAGCCAGTAGGGAAGGCGGTGGTAGCTGGAATTAGCCCCACCGGCCCAAATATATCTGGTCTGTGTTTGCCACCCCACTGGCACTTCCTGCCCCTTGGCACCTGCACCCATTGGGGGTGGAAGAGGATCTAGGTGCTACTCCCTACCCTGTGGGAGACCCCAGTCTCTGGAGGTGCCCTATTGCTGGGTACCCATGGGTAGAAGGTAACTTCCCAAGCTTAGATTCCCATAAAGGAGGAATGGGTACAGTAGCAACCTTTGGACCCTCACCTGGCCCCTGTCCTCCAAGGAGTTAATCTGGCCACCGTTTGGGGGGTGGGGGTTAGGGGTGGCCTAGGAAACTCCTCCAAACTGCCTGGAGGGCTGGGAACAATGAGGCCATTGTGGGAGGAGTGGAGTGCGGGTAGACTGCTGGCACAGCCAGATTGCACCACCACGGGTGGGACCTCACCCAAGGCTGCCTGCCTACTACTCTGCTCTCTCCCCCAGGTAATGCCATCAACAGAGACATCCTCCCAGCCCCCTCACCTTGCCTGCTGGTCCAAACTCTTGGCACTAGCAGCACCTGGAGGGCCCCCAGACTCTGCCCACATTGACATCCAGACTGCCATGACCCTAGCGGAAGCAGGGCCCTGTGGGCCAGGATTTGGGGCAGGGAGGGGGGACTGCTAATGAGACAGGATGTATGCCTGTGATCCTCTTGCAGGGAAGACAGGAAGGCCAAATGGGGTTTCTGGTGTCAGTCCTGGCACCCTCAGGCAAAAAGGCTTAGGGGATTGTGAGAACAGTGACAGGCAAGGTCCCCTATCCCCAGGCCTCCTTTCCCATACTCATTCCATAAAGCTGCTCCCTGAGGAGGTCTGGTGCCCATGTGCTGGCAGCCTCTCCCTCTGGGGTTGGGACACTGGCAGGTAATGTGAATGATGCAGAGGAATGAGAACTGAGTTTGCAGTCAGGCAAACAGGGTGCCAATCGCATCTCAACCCTTCTGAACTATAGGACCTTGTCCACACCTTCGGCCCTCTGAGCCCTGTCTCTTCTGCAAAATGAGAATTTATAAAGTGAAATACTATTAGTGAAACTAACAGAATGCCTATGACATACTACTCAGTCCTCCACAAACCACCTCTGGCCATGATGTCCCTTCTTTTCCCCATGAATGGCATCCAAATACGTGGGCATTTGGTAAAGGTGGGCATTGTCCAGATATTGGTTCTTGGAATGTCCACAGGGTCAGGGCCCATGGGCATCATAATCATGGTACTAAGTACAAGGACTTGGCTCTTCTTCTACCCTCCTCACAGAGGCCAGCTCCCTTGGCTAGCATTCCCCTGGGCATCCCTGGGTTTACAAACAAACAGACACAGAGCTTGAACCCAAAGAGAGGTTGTCTACTCTCTTAGCCTCGGGTCTGTGTCTCAAAGCCCCAGGAGGCAAGCAAAGGGGGATTTCCTTTTAACAGTGGCCTGCATCCCCTCCACCAGGCACCTCTCTCCCCACCTGACCCTTTGGCAGTCTCCCAGCAGGGTTCAGGCTGGGAGGAAGCTGGAGCCTACTTTCTTGCCATGAACCTCTTTAAAGAGTGGAGGGTCTGAAAGGGAAAGAAGATAAACTGGGACACACAGTTTTTTAGGGGTCTGGGGAGAAGACCCGTTCTCTTCAGGGTTGTCCTTCTCAAAGTGGCTCCATAAGCCCCAAAAGGGTTAACAAGTTCCTAAAAATAACCTGCTCCCAGCAGGACCCGCTGATTGGAACCCTCCAGCCATCTGTTCCCATTTTCTCCTGTTCACATTGGAACATCTGAAACCAGCTCCAGAGCTCCAGCCCAATCCCAAAAATAGCCCCAGCTTGCCCAAGGAACAGGCCCCAGGGGCTGGGCATAGGCTGTACAGCCAGCCCAGCAGTGAGGGCCCAAGCCAACTCTGAGCCCTCACCCCCAGGCCCATGGAAGGGTGGTGCCCTTCTGGTCCCGGAAGGAGGTGGTGAGTAGAGCCAGGGGCTCTAGCCTACTTCTCTTGGTATCAGGCCAGAGAAGTTACCTGCTAGCCAAGCCCAGGCTTCAAACCCAGGAGCCTGGTTATCCCAGGCACATCTGCCACATTTTAATCAACTTTCTCCAGAGATCTGGACACTTAACTCCTCAGAAGATCCAAACCACCTATCTGCAGATCTCCCCTTGTTGTGGGCAGCCCATCTCTACTGTCTTCTCCTGGCTCCTCACCCAGATATTCCCAAGCTTTAACCCCTCCACCATCCCATTTCCAGCCCAGGGCCTTTAGACCCTGCCTACCCAGCGGCACTCAGTACTCTCCCCTGCCCCTAGGCATACAGGGCTGAAGCAGAGTTTTTCCAGACTGCTCATACTCACTCAGCAACCTGGGAAAGGATTCTGGGGGTGTCCTCTGGACACCATAGATGTTGATATAACCCCACCCCTCCTCTGGGCTTCGGGATGCTTCCTCCCTGCCGATCTGTGTGCAGCAGGTGCCAGGCATGCCCATCTGGGCTTCTATGCATATCATAGGCTTGGGCACTGCCCTGCTACACTCAGGGAAAATGCCCAGGTGGGGAACCCAGAGGATCCAGCGCCCTGAGGCAGGCCTAACAGCTGCCATCTATGTCAGAGCTCCACACTGCTATTTTTTTTCTCCCCAAGGAAGGTCCTTGACCCCTTAGCCAGGAAAGACAGGAGGCAACCATTTAAGTCATTTAAGGACAGACTGTCTTGTTCGGCCTGGTGAAAGAACAGAGCGGCAAGGGATGTGATGGCGGGAGGGGTGCTGAAGCTGATCTGAGCTAACAGCTTGAGGGAGGGAGGGCTCAGCCCTGAGAAATGCTGGGAGATAGGGAGGAAGCCATGTCCTAAGTCCCCCCAGACTCCTCTCCAGGCTATTTGGCAAACTTGCAATCAAGATCTCAGCCAGCACCAACGGTGGGGAAACTGAGGCAGCAAGAAAGTGGGTTTGGAAGGGTGTTAGAATCTAAGAGTCTGAGTGCTGACAAGGTTGTCTCTTCCTAACCGCACCCCCAATACACACACACACACACACACACACACACACACACACACGCGCATACTCCTCCCACCCCTTCAATTTTTCCCCTGCTAAAGCCCCTGGGAGGGTCAAGAGTTCCTGTGAAGAGCTATGAGGGGGGTCTCTAGCATAACTGAGCATTTACTCTGAAACATCAAGCTGTCCTGAATACTGCACCTGCATTCTCTAATCCTCAGAACAACTCTTTGCAAAAGTACTTTTATTATCCCCATTTTACAGATAA